TCAAAGAAAAAAACCACAAAAATTCAGCCAGTAGTTTGCATTTCAGGGACCCATTGAACTCTTGGAAAGTGAAAGCATATACGTATGAAAACATATACAACTACTCTGTTTAAAGTCGTGCAATTTCCATCAGCATCTTGCCTTCTGCAAGAGCCTCACCTGGGTTTCTCTCTGTTTTTAACTCCTCATCTCACCAACTAAAAACAAGACATTATACTATTTAAAAGCTAGACTTCCCAGCTCTTTTTGTGAAGCATAAAGCATCACTGCCTAACTAGTAGTCACTGAAACGTTCCCAGCTTAGTATTTTTAACAAAAACTGTAAAGACAAAGTAATTAAAATAGCAAGAACAGAGCTACCTGACCGTATTGGGAAGCCCAGCTACCCAGGGCACATACAACAGCAGCTTCTAGCCTCTGTTGATCGAGAGAGATAATTTCTTAAAGCTCTTGTTGCCCCCCTGCCCCCCAATTAGCTGTGGTTTTTTTGTCACTGAATCAAGATTTAACATAACAAGCCCCAAACGTAGGAACTGTTTAATTCCTGACACTGGATGTGGCTTCACTAATGTTGCTTCCACCTCTTCTTTGGCTCTTTCTTGCCCTTGAGGTAATTTTTCCTGACATTTTCATGAGATCTACTTTTAACCTTCCTCCCCCTTGAAAACATACATAGAACTATGAATGGCAGGCATGCAATCTGTGCAGAGACACAGCACAGAAACTTGCACCTTGCACTCTTTTTCTATGTAAATAATGCAAGGATCCTGCGGGAACATGCCAGGGATTGGAATTTTTAATTAATGGGTCTCTTTAATGTGCAAATCAGGAGCAGATTGCAAATTCTGACTTGCATTGATTATGAAAAACATTAATTGAACGTGCAAGACCCCAAACAGAGGCAACATCTCAAGCCCTAGACTAGACTGGAAGATATGGTGCAAGAGAATACAAATGTATCTTGGAGAAACAGACCACTCCAGGCAACAGCACCTCAGAAACGTAAGCTGTGGGAGTTCACGTGTGCCGTGCATTAAACATTAAACATTTGCACCGCGTTCAGAGCGCAGCCACTGTGATTTCAGTATTAAAAACCACTCAGACTTTCTCCATGGATGCAAAACAGGAATAAACATGAGCTCCATGACCACAGTTTGGTCTCCAATTTGTATGTAAAAAGGGCGACAGAAAAAAATCTGGAATATAATTAAAGATTTAAAAAAAAAAAAGGGGGGGAAAGAAAAAGTAAGGCAGTGCAAACAAAGCAATGCTGTCTCTTTAAACAGAAATTCATCCTATATAAATTATGGCCATAAACTTTTCCTGCAGTGCAGCCTAATTAATTCTTGTTCTATACACAAAGGGAAATGCTGGGTGACAAATGGGTGTGAAGCCTGAAAGCTGCCAGGTCTGCAAAACATTTTCTACTTCAATTTATAAGCAATTTTGCAGTAAATCATCCACCAGAACCTGAGATCTCAGGAATCCAAGACTGTCCAAGGCACGTTGTATCATTTTAAAAAAAATATTTCATAAAAGATTACAAAAATAATAAATTAAACACTTGAAGTTTTGTAACCTCCAATCTCAAAATCTGGAAAACAAGCATGACCTTACCATTTTTGCTCACATTTGGCTTTAAAAAGCCAAATATATAGAACAATTATACTCAAACCCTTAGGGAATTTCACCACCACCACGAGCTGCACAGAGGGTTGTCACAAGTGGGAGATACCAGAAAGGCAAATATACGAAGGATCATTTTCCATTTCAAAAAAATCATCCTTCCCGTGAGCACAGAGCAGAAATTTCATGAGCAATGGAAGGACTTGGGATAAATGACTGAAAGCATTCTGGGGCAGCTTTCAAAGAGATGCAAGGGACTTCTCCAGGACCGCAGAGAGAGCTGGGTGCCAAGACGTGTCTGTGCCCTCCTGCCTTCAGCAGGCTGCAGTGTACACCGAGAGTCTGGATTTTTTGGCACCAACTGCTTTGTGCAACTTGAACACCCAGTCATTTCCTCCTACTCAATGAAGATGATGAAAGCATGCCAAATTTATTCTGTGGATTTGGAAAGAAGTGCTGAGGCTTCCCTGAAAGGAGAGTATCATCCAGTCCAAAACGGTGTCAATGTCATGATTATCCCAAATCCTGTCCAAGACTGGAGCGCATCCCATACAATGGAACCACCTCAACATTCAGGATTTACAAAGTCCCGTCTTCCACTCATCTTTAAACTCATTCATGCACAGTTCTAATTTTTCCTGTCTGGGGAATGGGATCCTACCCACAAGCTGGTAATACAACGGGGATGAGAACTCAGAGTCCACAAATGTTTACCCAGGCCACTACATCACCATTCAGAATCGAGTAAAAAAGTTTAATTTTATAGAAGCCACTAAACCACTTGATCAGCTAAAAATTAGGACTTTTATTGGAAGCTGATTTATAATAAGTGAGATTTTTTTTCCCTCTCATAATTCAAGGTGCATCAATTCAAGAATTTTAAATCTATTATCATGTATATTTTCAGAAAGGACTTCATTTCACCTCCTGAACGGACAGGCCACAGCCTTGTTATCCAGGCAGAAGCTCTATGAATGAAGATGTAACACAGCTCAGACTGCCCACGGGGTAAAACTCTAGCTGTTGATTAGACGCGAATCCCCCTCCCAGGGCCCACCACAGCAGAGAGAGAGAGAAATGGGTCTTTGCCACGTAACACCAACTACATCCCTAGTCTTTCATAAGATCTTCATGTATAAGCTTACTCCTAATTTCATGCTTGGCACTTTCTAACTTCTAGAAAAAGCATCTTTGCAGGGCAGTGAAAGATAGCTGCATCGGACAATAGCGTAGCTCTTCAGAAATGACTACTGTAATGTACTTTAGTGTACAATTTAATGTACTTTAGTGTACAATTACAGGTTGTATTTTAAAAAAATAGAAATAAAAAGAAATATAAGTTTGGTCCCTTAGAGAACAATGGAAAACACTAAACAAGTGTAGTAGTAGCAGAATGTTCCTAAATTCATTACTTCCCATCTGTCAGTCTGAGCTCTTCCTCTGCTAACTTTGCCCAAGTCGCTCCAGCTTTATTTTCTTGCTGTCTTCACAGACGAAGCACAGAACACGAACCCAGGCTATCAGGAACATCAGATATTGCAACTTTCCTGCCCAGATCACGAGAAGAGGGCGGGGAGGGAATCACTGAGCAGTCATTAACAGTGGATTTTCCTTTAGTGTTCTGGACAACTGAAAGATTAGCCTCTCTGCTGTACTGTGTACAGTATTATACTCCATGTTCTTGGATCTCTTTTGCTTATGGGAAATATCAAAATGTCAACCATTGTTTCTGTTAAAGGTCTTTAATGATATTGCATTTTAGACCTGTAATGAAACATGGTGCTCGGTGCAGTTTGTAATGCATCTCATTAAATACATTAATAACACGTATTTCACTGAAAGGTCAGCTTAGTATTGTTGGGAGTTCGCCTTTTTTTCCTTAATCACTTCATTTAAAGCAGCAGAGCTAATTTTAAAACATAAAATATCTCACCTGCTGTAACTCCAGATAAGCTGATTAGCTACCATGTTCAAACCAGGTATAAGCCGTAAGACAACAGTCAAAACTTGGTGTAGGGGCAAGATTCAGGGTCAGGTTTGATGATGGTAAAAGTTCCTAATCCAATTTTAAGATGGCTTGGGCCAGCCCAGGCCAAAATTCCTCAGTGCACAGGTATCACTACAGCATGTACAAACTGACACATGGTGTGGCTGAATGGATGTACAACCACAGCAAACCAGACAGCTCAGATGACGTCTCTGATGTCTAGCGTGAAAGGCTGTAGGCACCACTACCGTGTTTCCTACCGACTCGATCACGTAAGGGGGCTTCTCGGGATGCTCCATGGGGTGCTCACCTACAGAGCTGAAACTTTCCGAAAAGTGAGCAGTAGCTCAAGGTTGGGAAAGAAGAAATAGAAGTGAAAGGGATAACCAACCTGGCAAGCTTTAAAATGCTGCTGGGCTTATCTTTATTATTCAAAATCACTGGAAGAATATCCTATGAAGTTCATTAATTTCTGACTAGTGGGATTAGAAAAAAGAACAATCTGTGTATAGACATTGTCAACTGCGTGGTTTTTGACAGAAAACAACAAACATGTCAGGGAGAAATGGACACCAACCCAAACCTGCAGTAGTTTGTATTTATTCCTAAGGATAACATACCAGACATTTACCTCCCTGTGCATTTACCTTAAGGCCAGTAAAAAAGGTGTCCAGTTCTAAAAATTAAATAGATCCGCAACACACTGAAGTTGAGTACTTTGCACTTATCAGCTGGAGCGTGCACATTGTATTTGCCAGACTGGAGAACCTACTACAAATCTCATCAGATCAATATCATTAATAAGTGATCCTAAGAGATAAACGGATGAAGCAGCTCCAAGCTGAAAAGATACTTGCTGTTGATTTAACAGCACAGGCCCTCTCCTTTGGGCTGCATTACTCCTGGTTAGGGCAAATCTTTGCATTCACTGACCCAGCACAAAACTGGTACCACCAGGTGTCTCTGGACAAAGAAGCCTCCCAACTCTGCACCAAACAGCAATAAGCAAACCAATTATTCCTAAGATCCAGCACAAAACTTAAATTTGATAAGCAAACTTCAATGCCCACATGAACTAAAAATAGCAGGAGGACCTGAGCTGAGGCCTTCCAACATCATGTAAGTGACGCCAGGCCACCAGCGGAGATCAGCTAGGCATATAGACGGGGGGGACAGGAGACGTTTTCTTTGTCTGGGGTAGGAAACACTTTTTGGTTTCTGTTTGCACGGTACCTAATTAATGATTAAGGCAACACAAACCAACAGCTAATACTACAGACACATGCAACTCAAAGCCCTCACTTTCCCATTAACACTTCCCCTCATAGGCAAAACATATTGGCTACAGCAGAGCCAACCCAAAGTAGAAAGACTGAAGAATTCTTACAGTTCTCGACAGCATCGTCAAATTCTTGTCCACCTTCCTTTCTGAAGACTGGGTAAGTATCTGGCTGCGGAAGCCGGTTGACTGTTACGAGCGCCTTCTGCATCTTGATTCTCCCTTCCAGTAGTGCATCCCACAGTGCTTCATAACAAAGAGAAAATAAAACAATTTTAGCAAGCCAAAGCACTTGCTCCTCATGAAGGAGCTGTTGATTTAACAGCACAGGACCTCTCCTTTGTGTTACATTACTCCTGGTTAGGGCAAATCTTTGCATTCACTGACTCAGCACAAAATTGGTACCACAAGGTGTCTCTGGACAAAACCACAACCCATCCTATGATCCTCACTGCAATTCTGTGACCCACAAAAAAACCATCCCTTTGCTTTCCTGTTTAAAAGAATGTTCTGCAAATGGACGTTTGACAGTGTAACAGGACAGAGAGGAAGAAATTGCATTCGGTGTTATATTTGGAAAAGAAACAGAAGCGGTAGCAGCATCACTGCACAGCACTACCACTGTAAGAAGTCCCCGTCCCCACCAATACTACACTTACATTCAGTAGTGGTTCAATTAAGCCAGCGGATAAATACACTTCATAACATGAGATTTTGTACCAGCAGTGACACCAGTTTGCATAGCAGATTTGGCAGAACATTTGCAAATCACTAGGGCTGCTGTAGCGTGCACATGCAGTACGCTAACAGCATGTTAACGTGCTGAAGTGGTTCCTAACATGGCCAGTTTCTATAGTGTCAGCAAGGTGAAAGTCTTGTCAAAATACAAAGCAAAGATGCACAAACCTAGCTGGTTCTTCACAGCTTTTCCTTTTTCTACTTCTTCAGCCTCTTGTCCTTTTGAGAATGTCATCACCCCCCCGTCACCTTCGCTGTCTTTGGGTTCCTCTACATTGTCATGGTTTTCACTCCCATATTCCTCCTCATCGCTTCCTTCTTCCATGCTGACATCATCTTCATCTTCTCCTTCACTGCTTCCTACGTCATCCATCCCCTCTGTAAATTTCTCGAAGTCTGTAATATTTTGGAAACTGAACTTTGGTGCCTTGCCAGACGGATCTGTCTCTTCATCGTCTTCCAGGTCATCCTCCTGGTCGCTGCCAGCACTGCTGGGCTTCTCCTTTGTTTTACTGCCTAAACTGCCGTCCTCTTCTGCATCTTCACTGCCACTGTACCATTCATCTAATGCTTCTTCAGCTGATAATTAAAAGAGAAAAAAGTTATTTACTTACGAGCAAAACGTGCCACTTTGCAGTACGCATCATCAATAGCTACAGGTTTGGGCTATTTGAGCTCCAAACTCCATTTTATCTGTGTATGATGTGACCCTCTGTTTTGGCTAAACAATGGAAACACAAGGCCATATACACAAGAAGATTTCAGCTCACATTTTCTGCAGCAATGATTGGTAGGTCCGTGGCTTAGCTTTCCCATGAAACAATGGCACGATAAGCAAACAAGGTGGTCAGAATTTGCTACATGCATTTTTTAAATGAGAATCTGTATATACTTCCAGTTCCCAAGATATATTGGCTTAAAAATGGGAGCTGTTTCTTTTCCTCCATACAATGTTCAGTGCACTGAGCCTCACCTCGCACAGTCACACTCTCTCCTCAAGCTGTAGAATTGACCTCCTCTTTGGGATTTCCCCTTCCCTCAGGCCAAAAAATATGGTCTGAATTTCAGGAAGGCCCTGGAACAGGGACCTAAAGTTTGTCATCTCCGCTCAGATGGCACTGGCTCAGTTAACATGCTAACATCAAATTTTGAGTAATCTAGTGAAAAGGGGAAAGAAACGAGATTTCTTACCAGATCCTTCTTCAGACAGAGCATCTCCCCAGAGCTCTTCCTGCAAGGCTTTGCGAGACGTAGCTTTTCCACTATACCTTTTATCAGCTTCCAAAAGAGCGGCTGAAGCTTTTTTCCGTATATTACCAACAGGGAAAATGTCATCTGCAGTTTCATCCTCAAATTTGTCAATCACTTTAGCAACTGTAGCTGTGGGAAAAAAAGAGGGTAGAGGTGTCTAAACTGAACTGAATTTCAGACTACAGGAAGGAGCCATCCTCCCACACGGAAAACTCCTCATGGTCTACAAACAAAAATATACTGCAAAGGTGAGCTTGATGGCAAGATAGCCTCATGTAAAGAGCCTGGCTTTTAGGCTTCAAGATGGAGTAAGGCTCTTCCCTGCCTGGTGAAGGAAAGCCACTACGCTAATTTTCTGCAAAGGGGGAAAAGGTTGCTGGGGAATCAAAGGCAGAGAAAAAGCCTCAAAGCCTGGTTTTGTGTAGATCAGCACCAGTGCTGCCTAGAAACTACTGAGTAAAGTAATACTTAATATCTAGCAGAAGAGGTAAGACAGTTCCAAGGGTATTTTTCAGAAAACATCCTGTGACTTCTTTGCGGCCAGAGGTGTTCTCCCACCCACGAGGTTAACCTCTGCAGAAGGAAGGGAGATGTTACACAAACTGACCAATTCCAACCCCCCCCTCAGTACTCCGGACTTCTCCATATACAGGTTTGGTACCACAGGGCTCACCCGCCATACAGAGATGAATGTTTATTAACAAATGCCAAAAATCCCATTGAATTATTTTTTTCTTCTTGAATGAACACTGCCAACATTCACACCTTCTTCCCTGCCTCTTCTTTATTTTAAAGAAACCGCACAAAGCGCTAGACAAACTAAACCCACCCATGCCCTTCCACAGATTCATGAGGGTCTCATGAGACGTGTAGTCCTCTGGGTGGAGGACTCGGCACAGCTGGGATGCCTTCACTCCCTTCACACTTTCGGATTAAATGAGGAAAACTGCAATTCAGATGCACTTTGGCCTCTTGCTATACGTGTAAGCCACATAAATACGTAAACATTTTAGAGAGGCTAAACGGAGAAAATAATTTCACTGTGGTTATTACCCTCTTTCACACCCATCTTCTCCAGGACACAGGAATGGAGCAGTCCAGCAAAGAGAACACATCATACCATACTCCCTCCTTATTTTCATTCATGTGCGAGACACCCTGTATGTAAAATTACAGGGTTAGCTTTTTTCAACCAATTGAGTGATCCAACTGGCTGAACATCGCTAAGTGCTCTTTTAATGTGTGTTTGGAACTGTTAATGCCTCACATATAGTGTTTACTTGAGGCAGGGGGGGAAGCAAAAAACCCTCCTGCTCATAATCACAGCAACAAGATCTCGTCTAAATATAGTCACTCCAGCTACGAGAGGATGGCAAGATGCTCGGCACCAAGGAGTGGCTGGGCAAGAGGGGCAGATGCAGAATGACCTGTGGCCCTTGATGGATCTTCTGGCATTCTCAGTCTTGGCGCCGCTGAAGTATGAATTCTGAAACTAAATCGTGATTACTAAGATGGGAAAACGCCTCTGCTGACTACATTAATTTCCTCAATGGTTACTAAGATGTTGCTTACAAGACACTACGGCTCTTGCATACCAGCGTGTATAGAAGAACCAGGCTAGCTGGTACAATGTTTACCATAACTGGTGCTTAGTACCTCCTAAAGCCAACCACTATCAGTGTGTGACGGCCACCTCGCTATTTCAAGAGGCCCCACGGCTTGGTTGGTCTACTGCTGCTCTGGAGAGCGTAAGTCAAGGAAACAGCAGGCACCAGCCTGGAAACTCAGAAGATGACACCGCCACCTACATGTCACAGGGAAAGGGATGAATCTCTCAAAAATCACAGGTAAGGCAAGAAGAGCTCGATTAAACAGATAAGTTGGTTATTGGCCACTGGTAAGCATCAAACAAGAGGTGCGGCGCGCTGCGGCCTGCTCGGTGTGCTGGAGAGGGCTGCCGGCAGCCACCGCCTCCGCTGAGGCTCCTCCCGCTCCAGCAGCCCCACCCCCCCCGGCCTCCGCTGAGCCCCCTCCCGCTCCAGCAGCCCCACCGGCCGCGCTCCGCTGGCAGAGAAAGCGGCCCTGCCCCGACGCTGCGCTTCCCCGCCTCTGTTCCCGGAGCTTTCCAGCCGGATCCGCTCCCCAGCCTGGCTCCGCACAGCCCGGCCTGCGGCGGGGCCTGCAGCGGCGCGGCGCGGCCTGGGCAGCCCTGAGGTAACTCGGCGCTGAGGCAGCTCCAGCCCCGGCCCCTGAGGTAACCCTGATGGCGGAGGTAACCGCGATCCCCGACACAACCCCCACCCCGGCGGCAGCCCCCGCCCCCGAGGCGGG